GCGGAACTAAATTGTTCCTTGACTAGATCGGCGAAACACTTTCATTCATTCAAACATACTCTGTTAGTAGAAGAAGCCTTGTTATATTAAGCTATGTTAGTCAATGTTCTTATAAATGGCCTGGTTCCAACACACGTAAAGACAATTATCTTATTAATGGGATATTGGCAGATGTAAATAATTCATTTGACCCCGTTGCGTAAAAAGAGTGGCCTCGAACAGACTCGACCCCACGCGAGGAAGGAGAAGGCTTTATAACAGATAAATTTCCAGTCAATTGGACAAGGAAGCCCCACCGTAATCCATCAGCTTATTTACACTTGGATCGATTCATCCGCCCAACCTACTGAAAAATGTGCAATCCACCAATGTTGAAACAGTAAGCTGACTGTCCAAGCAGGGTGTCCTAAGCACTTACCAGTAAGCGCACCTAGTTAACCAATTTTGCTTAAATGCAATGCTCTCGTTGGGACCTCGTAGCTCGGTTAGTTAGTGTTGGCTGTACTAAAGCCTTCTCTTTATTGGCGTGTGTTCGAGTCCCATTGAAACTGTCGCGCTTTTAACAATTATATCATTTAAGTCATGCAATTGTTCAAAAACTAATTATATCTTAGTCTGTCGAAGCAAACTTTTCCAACCATTTAGGTTATCTTTTTCTCTAACGGATTGGTTACATTTGATGCCTTTGAAAAATACATTTTAAGAATTTTTTGTACTCCAATATGTTAAAACTTGATTTGGAGTATGTAAACTTTAAAAACCAAATAAACTTATTATGATTTTTAAACAATACATCCTTGTAAAGGGTGATTTTCATGTTAAGCTGAAAACCCCTTATCGGTTAGTCATGTTAACTCGATGTGCCAACTAAAATGTACTCTTTGCTCATTAATATTCTAGCGATTATTTAGAAAAAATGTATGCTTGACAGCAAATATAGGGAGTTCTATTAGCTAGTGGCCTCGGTGTGGTCTCCAATCAAGGGCAATCTCTCCTAGATTTCCTTTAGTCTATCGAGGATACAGTTAGATTGAACTCTGCTGTAAGTGCGTTTGCTAATCTGATTGTACGGTGTGTTCATCATGGTGGACATTTGAGCTTGATCGGGAGCCCCGTAGATCATCGCACGTTGACTAGTACTACATGCCGAGAGACAGACTGAGATAAATATTTTAGGCCTATTAGCCGTCTTCAATCAGTCATATCCAAGCCCAGATTTTCCGGCACCTAACCCTCGATTCCACGTTCCTTGGAAATCGAGCGTCAGTAAGTGCAGCGCTCTACCCATTGGGCCACGGACCCGTTGTGTTTTCGGTTGTGACCGTCAATATTAACTGCGAGGTAAGCGCACTTACAAATCTGGTTACGAGACATGTTGATGACAGGTAATAGGCCAGAATCGGCCATCCCAATGTAACCTATCTTTGTCGAACATCGTCTCTTATCCAAGCTTTTATTTGAATTGCAGACAGGTCTTAAGATCTGAGGATAGTCACCAACCTAAAATGCAAGTAGTAGCATTTGGGCTTTGCTACATAACCTGATTTTTTTTTAACAAAACTGTTACTTTATTTCCAGCGATGGCGGAGGCTTTAAAATTACAGTGAACACTTTGATCTTCTGACGTCATTACTGCACTGTTAGATAAGATATGTCCTCATGCCGAAAAAGGAGAGATTATCCGTTGACTTCTGGATACAAACTAATGTCTATTTGCAGACCAAACGTTTTGATACTGAATGGCTTGGATCCTATTTAAAAGAATGTGGATATTTATTGCTTCGCGTTCAGAAGGGATTATTTTTGAGCATAAGTAAGAAGTAGGATCAAACGTTTCCCACTGAAACTATCATTTGGTCGCAAACGCATTTGGCCCAAAACTAACTTAAATTCTTTTGGGGCTTGACAAAAGCATTCTGCAGAGTACGCTGGATTAAAATAAACAATGATAAAGGTATCCAAGGTACACCCTAGAACCCACCTATTTGGGCCACTGCCTCATGGTCCTGTCGACTGCGACTAAGAGTATTAACTAGAGCGAATAAGTAGACGCGGCCTCTGGGAGAAGACTTTTATTTGCCTGACGTTTTGTATTCCAGCTCGAACTAATCTTCACAGACAGTATCAGCTAAGGGTGATTTGTACACAGGGAATTACAGTATCTATAGCATGCTGTCGCCATGCTACTTTATACCTATGATAATTACCAGTTATGATTGCTTTCTAGTTCTATAATAGCATTCCATTCGTTAAGTAGTGAAACCGCATCACCAGTGTTTGAATTTGGCGTGAGGATTGTTCGGCCAACTGGTTTACTGGCCAAACCCAGGCTCAACACTGAGATTTAGTCAGACACTCGAGAAGCGAATGGGCGAACACATTTTCCAATGACACTGCCGTTGAGACAGGTGCCCGAGGAATCATCACGCCAACCCCCAACAGGGGTGATATAGTTTCAGCAGATAACGACCCGCATTCCGGCCCGCAAGTAATTAGCGCACCAGAGGTCAATCATCCTAGATAAAGGGCAGCCGTTACCTTTTGTAGATATGCATTAGCATAATAACTGCATCCTTTAAATACTGCAACTGGCTATGTACGAAGCACCCGCATATGCTGATTGGTTCTAGCACGAAACTGAAGAGTCAGACGAATAAACTTCCTGTCCCAGCGATTGCGTCTACTCCTTCTAAATAACCTCCAGGAACTCGCATGTAAGCTCGTATTGGCAATAGGTTGGAAGTGTTATTCAAAACAGCACATGCGCATCTCGCAATGCTTTGGGGCTTGGTATACCAAAAGGAGTTGATTATCCTAACGAATTGCTGCAGTCGATTTCTCTTAATTTCCGAATCTAACAAAGTAATTCTCATAGCAAAGAAGCAATGTCGACTGAGACTAAAGTTGTAGTTCGTTAGCACACTCAGGTGGAAAATATCTTATAGTTACTGTTTTCTGATGCTGAGATGCCCTTGACCGAACAGTTTTTCACGCGCCATGTAGTACAGACGGAACAGTTAACACCTGCTCCAAGGAAGATTGTGCTGTCACAGGCTATATGATGGGATGGAGGTTGGTTATTGTGGTGATAGGCGTTCCATTCCAGTAAGTCTATTCTCCCTGCTAGGTTGAATTCGATTGGTCAGTAATTTTTTGAGTCTCTGCTCCAATCAAAATTCGCGATTGTGGAGGCTGTTCCAGTTGTCGTTGGCTACTGCGGCACGTGGTTGTCAAAGTCTTCACCGGCTTTTACTTGCCACGATCAGTCAGCGGGGCATGGGAACTTCAGTAATAGTGATATTTTTGCGCTAAATTCGAGCGATAACATGCGGCTAAGGTTCGTGTAAGGGTTAAATTTATGGTTAGCTTTAAGGCCCATTTTGAGGTTAAGAGTTAAGTATGGATGGAGTTAGGACTACGGTTAGTTAGCGTAAGGACACCGAATGCGTGTCTTCGTAGTCCAAACGCATATATGCATTTTTTATTTGAAAAAAAAGAGGAATGTGTTTTCTTCATTCTCGAGAGAACAATTCAGTAGCAGATTGTCGTGGAACAGCCCAGCATCCAAAAACTGTCAATATAATTCCACAGACGTAGCGAAAGAACTAGAAGAAGTGTACTAAGATCCTATTATTGTATTCAATCGCGTCATTTTCGAATATTGCCGTTGGATTAACACCTATGACCTTGTGTATCCCCACTTGTCTGGGATCTTGAAATAAGTATCTGTGAGCATCTGGGGCACTAAAGGTTCCACGATGCGGCCGTGGAAACATAAGTTCGGGCTCCTTGTTGTCGTTCCTAGCAGCCTTGTGAGTAACGGTAAATTCAACTTACTCTTTGACATAAAACCAGCAAAAATATATTTTGACGACGTTATCCCCCCTTACGACCCACTTGTTGTACTGTGCAGTGAAAAATCACCCGCAAATGTCTCAGAACTGGTCACCTATGATACTACCGTCCAGTCTCCCATGTCCGAATCGCCCGAGTTCTCCCCACAGGAGCCTACCGCCACCACAGACCCCTATCTCACTTCCATCGGCTTCCCCTACGCCAGTCAGCTGCGTTTCTTTCCACCCGCTGCTGTTCCCTCCTACG